TCATGGTCTGATGGGAGAAACACACCAGTACCTCATCCAATTAGAAGGGAGCATGTAGGAGTCTAAGGCAAAGAGGGCAATGTGCTTGGTGTGCAGGGAGGGGGCAGCTGGTCAGACGTGGGAAGGTTAAGGAAGCCTCTCTAGAAGAGGGACACCAGAGAAGAAGGGAAGGTTCATTTTGATTGGCAGATGCTCTTACGTTTTCATCAATTCTTGCTGGTACGTCCATTCAGATCTCTGCATTGAGGAGGTCCTGGGAGACCTTTAGGCAGGGAAATGAAAGATGCTCCTAAATGAGTCGATGACAGTCCTGTGGAAAAATAAGTAAAGTATTCTGTGCTGAAACTCAGCTCTGCTTTCATTTTCACAGTTTTGGATTCCAGTATTTCAAAAGTAATCTCAGATTTTTTTAAATGAGTAAGAGTAGTTGTCTGTTTTAGTAACAATGTTAAAAGTATAACTAGAATTTAAAATACTGTGAACCCATTTATTGGGTCAATAGCATGTTTTATCCAATACCTGTCTAGTCTTTAACTGTCCTTTTGTCTTAAGAACTGTTTCTCTTTTTCTCATACAAACCGTATGCTTCCCACATCTCCCCTCTGATACTGACCTTTTTGCAGTATGTTTGCACTGACCTTTTTTTGGAGACCATTTCTTATGACTTTGTACAGCTGTTTGTTTTCAGTCTCTATTCCAGTATTTGGAATTATCCTTAATTGTAAAACGTAATCGTGTCTTGTGTTGTTACCTAATTTTTTACTTTTTGCATGTTCTACTTGTTGATTTTCTTTGTCAGATGAAATGTTTCTTCAAGACAGACCCATATGAGAACCTAAGCTTGCAAATCCTTTGACAAGCCAGGTGATGTTGGCAACATCATGTCCCTCACTTACCCAGTAAGGACCCTGAGAAAAAAAGGGTTGGTGTCCGGGAAGAGAGAAAAAAGTGGACTTTTCAGTTGGTATTGGGCTGGTTATTTACTTACTTAACCCGTTTGGAGGGTTTAACTCCTAACTACTCTTTTATTCTAATTCTTCTATTAAAACCAGTATTCCTGCCATTCGGAAGAGACCTAGCACTCACAGTGGTCTATTAGTTATCATCTGCCTTGGCTTGATCAAGCTTTAGTCAGGCTTTTTCTTCCTCCCAGGCCCCTGGACTTTGGTTTGCCCCAAGTCTGAGCAAGCACGAGGCCTGAGCACAGCCGATCATGCTCCCTCCATCCACCAGTTTGTTCTGTTTCCCCTCAAAAGTGCCCACTGACCTGCCCCTCCCCCCCCCCCGCCCCACACCCCTGCTTCCTGTAAAAGGAAAGTGTTTTCTGTTTGGTTCTGAGATACTTGCAGACAGATCCAAAGTCTGGAGCATCTTCCTTACCGCAATAGACTCTTTGAATAAAATCTCTCCTTAGGTAAATCTGGATTCATTTTTATTCGACAAAAGAAAAGATTTGACGTTGATTTTGAAACAGTGGACTTTTGAGCTGGTTGCGTCTTCATGTAGGTTGTTCTCATGGTTCCTGCCCATCGAAATGCTTGGTGTTAGGGACCGCCTTTACTGAAATACAGAAGTTAAGTCTGAAGATGTGTTCAAGCTCATTAGGAACCATGGGCTTTCTTCTTATTGCTGTCACTAGGATTTTTAATCCACTTTATGAGTGGAATGTTTTCATACTGTGATATTGTGTACTTGAACTGCACTTACATTTCTAGGTTGTCCTTATTATTTTCTCTTTCCCTCAGGCCCTTTTAGAAATGGATCTCTCTGTTAGGAGATAAAATGTTTCTTGTAGAGAGATTCAAATATAATACATTAGTTGCACATTTTGGACCATCGTGACGACACTGGCCCAGCTCCTAGCACGCTTACTTACCAAAGATGCTAGAGACTGGGGAAACACAGGATCCTGTGCCTGGAAGAATGGAAAACATGACCTTTGATTCATGGATGCCTGACCATTTACTTATTTTATGTTTTTAAAATGTTGCTAATTATTTACTTAACAGACACATGGGATTGATTGACTACAGACAATGTATATATTTGTAAATATAATGTAGTTCAGTCCTCATAACAACTCTGTGCAGTGGGTACTATTACTATCTGCAATTTGCAGATGAGGAAAAGGAGACACAACGAAATCAAGTGAATTGACCGAGGTCCCAGATGAGAAGTTGAAGCGTGGTTTTGAATCCAGGAAGTGTGCTGCAGGGGGGCCATGCTATTAGTCAGTATATATGCTGTCTTTCTTAATGCCCAATTATCCATTTCCCTCAACAGTATTATTAAAACAGTTATACCTATTTTTTAAAAAAATTTTTTTTCAACGTTTATTTATTTTTGGGACAGAGAGAGACAGAGCATGAACAGGGGAGGGGCAGAGAGAGAGGAAGACACAGAATCGGAAACAGGCTCCAGGCTCTGAGCCATCAGCCCAGAGCCTGACACGGGGCTCGAACTCACGGACCGCGAGATCGTGACCTGGCTGAAGTCAGACGCTTAACCGACTGCGCCACCCAGGCGCCCCTAGTTATACCTATTTTAAGGAAACTTACATTATTTTTGAAAATATATAAAGTTTCAAAAACAATGAAAACAAATAATTTAATTACCTTATTCTTAAATACATTTGTTATAGAAATTACATTTGTGGAGATAATGAATATATTTGCGAAAGTATAACTGATTAAGAATAAGAGGTTTTCTTTTTTTTCCCTTTTTTTCCCCTTTTCTGATATCATTGGGCTTTTAAAACTGCTCTTTTGATAATGGACTTTTTTTTTTTTACATCACTAATTTTTCCATTGTCAGTGTTTGAAATTCATTGTTTGTGTTACAGCAGTTAGAGTGTTTTCTTTATTGTTACTTTATTCTTTTTTCTTTCCCTCTGCATATTATAGTGTTTGGTATCTCAATCAATGTGTTATAGTTTAACTAAAGAAGTTAAAATCAAAACATCAGCGGGCAGTTTTCTTGACCATCCTGGTAATGTTGGGGTAGGCTCTCCCTGATGACAAATTTTATTTGCCATGTTGAAATGTTAGCAGCTGGCCTGGCAAGGTCCTGGTGAAACGGGGAGTCAGACAAAGCAGTCACTAATGGAATAGATATTTAAATTAAGGTATGGAGTGAAATTTGAGAAGAGTCGTTAAGGTTGGGAAAGGAAGGTAGGCGTGTTGCCTAGAGCTAGAGGAAGGAAGTCAGGGTTAGGACCTCTCAGACTCTAACCTGGTCCGTGAGATTGAGAAAAAGGATTCAGGAAGAGAGAAAAAGAAATGGACTTTTTAGTCGAAAAAGAAAAAGAATAATGAGTCCCTTACATTTGGCTGCTCAGACGCCTTGTGGCAGAGAAGACAGAATGATTGCGAGGAGGAGGTTCAAATGGGTGTGATGTTTCTCAGGGCCAGACTCTCAGTCATCACACCTTCTGTAGACGCTGCTGATGTACAGAGAAAAACGAAGTGAATATTAGCATTCAGAGTGACAGAAAGATATGGAAGAGGGAGCCACCGTAGTGATATAAGTGGCAGTAGCTGCACTCATTCACCATGGTTTCTCATTAGCAGAAATACTGACCTTTTAAACGGGATAATTCTTTGTTGTAGGGGCAGTGGGGCTACTGGGGGGCACTGGAGGATGTTTGGTAGCATCCCTGGCCTCTACCTACTAGATTTGAGTAGCACTCACCAAGTCGTGGCAATCGAAAAGGTCTCCACACGGTGCCACCCACATGTCCCCTGGGGAGGCAAAATCTACCCAGTTGAGAACCACTGCTCTATACCTAAAGAACAGCTGTGTAACTGTGCCCCACCCTGTCAACATGAGAAGACAAATGATTTAATAATCACGTGGTTGTTAACATTGGGTGAAGAATCTAATGAAAAAGTTAGATGATGGTGGTAAGGAGCAGGGACGGGACATCCTAGCATAAGTGGGACGGGGAACCTGATAGGATATAGTCCCATCTCTTCCCTTGTCTGCTGCTTACATTCAAATCTTCCCAGTCTTTCAGAATTAAGTCAAAAGCTACATCTTCAATAAAGCACATATAGAGAAGTAGTTTCTGTTTCTCTGATATGTATTTAGCATTTTAGGGTTTTTTTTAATGTTTATTTATTTTTGACAGAAAGAGACAGAGTGTGAGCGGGAGAGGGGCAGAGAAAGAGGAAGACACAGAATCAGAAGCAGGCTCCTGATAGCACAGAGCCTGACGTGGGACTCAAACTCATGAAACGAGAGATCGTGACCTGAGCTGAAGTCGAATGCTTAACTGACTAAGCCACCCAGGCACCCTTGTATTTAGCACTTTAAATTAATTTTTAATTACATAAGTAAAAGTGAGTTGATTTTCAAAAATATTGAAACATTTTGGGGCGCCTGGGTGGCTCAGTTGGTTGAGTGTCCAACTTTGGCTTAGGTCATGGTCTCCCGGTTTGTGGGTTCAGGCCCTGCGTCAGGCTCTGTGTTGATGGCTCAGAGCCTGGAGCCTGTTTTGGCTTCTGTGCCTCCCTCAGTCCCTGCCCCTCCCATACTCATGCTCTGTCTCTCTCTGCCTCTCAATAATAAATAAACATTAAAAAAATATTGTAACCTTTTATTTCCAGCAATATAGTAAATTAGGGAATCTGAAAATCCTCCTACCATATCTAGAAAATTTAAAATATCTCAAACATTCTTTTAAGTATTTAGTTAAGTACACAAAAAGTAAAAACAATATCTGCCAGCCAAAACTGATGACCAGGCATCAAGTTTGTGAACTGATGTGTTGGTTTTCTTTGTGTTTGTCAACAAGGTGTTTGAGTTCCAAGAGCCACAGATCTGAGAAT